CTAGAAGAAACCATTTTGAGCAAGGTAACCCAATCACAAAAAGACAAACTTGGTAAATACTTACTCATATGTGGATTTTAGACATAGAACAAAGGATTGCCAGCCTACAATCCACACTGACAGTGAAGATAGTAAACAAGGAGGACCCTAAGAGAGACATACATGGTCCCCTGGAGAAGGGGAAAGGGACAGGATCTCCTGAGCAAATTGGGAGCAAGGGAGGGGGAGGGAGCTGGGAGAATGAGAAGGGGAGAAGAGGAGGGGTGAGGAGGACATGAGGGAGCAGAAAGGTTGAGTTGGGGAAAGAATAGAAGAAACCAAGAAAGGAGATACCATAATAGAGGGAGACATTTTAGGTTTACAGAGAAATCAGGCACTAGGGAAAGGTCTGGAGATCTACAAAGATGACACCAACTAACAGTCTAAGCAACAGAGGAGAGGATACCTCAAATGCCCTCCCCTGCTAATGAGATTGATGACTGTCTTATATGCCATCCTTTAGCCTTCATCCAGCAACTTGTGGAAGTAGAATCAGACACCCACAGCTAATCACTGAACTGACCTGGAATCTAGTTGTAGAGACGAACGAGTGATGAGTAAAGGGGTCCAGACCAGGCTGCTGAAACCCACAGAAACAGCTGACCTGAACAACGTGGAGCTCTTGGTCCCCAGACTGATAGCTGGGATACCAGCATGGGACTGATCCAGAACATGGGTTTCAATGAGGAGACCTCGGAAATCTACGGGACTTCCTGTAGTAGTTCAGTACTTATCCCTAGCATAGGTGTGGACTCTGGGAGCCCATTCCACATAGAGGAATACTCCCTGAGCCAAGATACACAGGGGTGGCCCTAGGCCCTATCCCAAAGGATATGATAGACTCTGATGACACCCTATGGAAGGCCTCACCCTCCCTAGGGAGCAGAAAGGATATGTGATATAGGTAGGGTTTTAGTTGTGGGGAGATGGTAGAGGAGGAGGGGGGGAGAGGCAACTGGGAGTGACATGTAAAACAATCTTGTTTCTAATTCAAATAAAAAAGTTGGAGAAAAAAGAGTTGCATGGTTGGCACGTGCCTGTAATCCTAGCATTGGAAAGGCAGAGTCAGGAAAATCACTGGGGCTTCTGGCCAACTAGCCTTGCCCAATCAGTTAACTCCATGCTCACTGAGAGACCCTGTATCCAAAATAATGTGGGGAGCATCAGAAGATAGACATACATTCTCACACACAAACATGAAATGTCTGCAAGGTTCTGGGTTTCAACCCTGGAATCAATAGAAAAAAATGCTCTTTGAGTAGCTGACTAGATTTGTATAAAATTGTTCAAATTTGGCATGGTATTTAGACAGAATTTACAATTTCTGGGATGGTAATCAAATTATTTCTGCAATTTTGTGTTGTGTATTCATGAAAAACAGTATTTTCAACATTAATTATAAATTTGAAATGTCAACCAACTCTACAAGTTCTGAAATTTTTTGATCTTTAGCCAGCAGCACCAAATATTCAGTCAACCATTGCTTCTTTGTACTCAAATAATTTAGCATGTCTATACTATTATTATACAAATATACTTTCATTTTTAATGAGTGATAAGTTATATGTTTACAAAATAATTTAAAAAATAAATTTATACATGGTTTATTGTAAATACATGGTCATTCTTTCTCTGTACTTTTTTTGTGGTTTTCTGTAATGGTCTCCATCTGATGCAAGGAGACATTTCTTTGATAAGAGGTGGGACCAACACTTTTGTGTATAAGGATAAACATTTAGATTTTAGTTAGGAATTATACCAATTTAGTAAAGTGGGGGTTGGAGGTTCTCCTCTAAGAACCATGGTCTCACTAGCCTCAGATATGTGGCTTGGTTTCCAGTACCAGGCAGGAGTTTCCTCCTGTTAAGCTCCTTAAATCTAGTCAGAGGGATGTTCATTACCACCAAGGTATGTGTGCCACCACTGTACCCTTAAGGATATCATGCCTTAATCACTGTTGTTTTAGTTCATAAGCACCGTAGCTGGGTAGGACGATTGTTTGCTTTCATTTGTTGAAATCTTCCATGGAGCCTTTCTGGTACCATGAAAACTAGTTCTCAGGGAGGATGCTTTCAGGTAAGACCCAATTTGAATCCTTGTTCTGTGTCCAAAGAACTCAGTGTCTTCAGAAATAGGGGCTTACCTTCAACCTCTGAGAGGCAACAGGAACAACCACAATAACCTATTATGTTTTGAGAGACTATTGGATAGCTTTGACCAACAACTCAAAAGGAGGATTCTCATGGCTGATTTGGGGTTTTTGTTGTATTATCTTTGACTATTGGGAAAAGCATTGTCAGCTCACAGGGGGAGATTTTTACCTAAACTATATATGCATATGTATAAACAGTCTTATGAGTGTTATATGTAACTTCAGGTATGTAGATAATAATAGGATGCCTCAATGACTTTTTCAGATATCTTTTACTGTTAATGTATTTTATTAAAGCCTATGAATGAATAGTAGGGATTAAGTTTTTGAGTAAAATACATCTTTCATTTTAGTTTTAGTAATTTTTCTTTATACGTTCTTGGCCAATTGTTGTTTCTTTTCCCCCTTTTAATTTGAATTAGAACCAATGTTATTTTATATATCAATCCCAGTTCCCTCTCCCTCCCATTTCCCCATGCTCCTGACTGACACCCATCTCATCCCTCTTCTGCTCCATAGAAAGGGTGAGGCCTTCTATGGGGATCATTAGAGTCTGTCACAACATTTGGGGCAGGGTCTAGACCTCCCCCCCCCCACCCCGTGTGTCTAGGCTGAGAGAGTATCCCTAGAGCTCAACACTCACTGGATTCTCAGACTTGCCTAAGAGTTGCCTTACATCACTATGGTCTGAGTTTCCTACCTCCCTGGAATTCATTTGTAATTCTGAATTTATTCCAATCATCTCGCTACAATCAGTACCCACTCTCGGTGCCTTTATGTTGCCTTCAAGATAAATCAGTAGTTTTTGACTAACATAAACTCAATTCCAAGACATGTCACAGAGTATGGTCCCCATCTTCCTTTAGGTTCATACCCTGGTGACAAATGATGTGCTTCCACTGCTGGCACATGCATGCTCTTTCTTCACCAGCCACATCCATTTTTCAGGGTTCTAGCTTTTCCTACTATATAGTGAGTTGTTTGAGAGCTAGGTGGTAGAAATAAATTTATGTTGTATTCACTAAGTTTGTGGATTGGGACACAATGGAGCGATTGTCTTTATTCCATGGTATCTAAGATCATAGCCATACGACTGAACTCTTTGAGGCTGGAGTCATCTGAAGCTGCTTTAGTCACAGATATAGGAACTTGCCCTGGTTGTTGGCTTAGTGCCTCTGTTCATCTTCATGTATATTCTCTATGAAGGCCTGCCTCTTTTGTAGCCATTGCATAGGTGATTTGAGGCTTTCTCCTGCCACCATGAGCTGATTTTTCAGTGGTCCTTTTATATAACCAAGAAATCACATAATACTGTTCCCACTATAAAGCATTACTCAGAACAATCACAGTGTACCCAACTTTTAGGGGATGGATAAATATAATCTATGTCTTCATCAACAGGGAGAACTTGGAAAAGTATCAAAGACCAGAAATAGCATCATGGCTGATTTAAAACAAAACAAAAAGTATAATACATCCCATTCAAACTCTTAGTTCATAGTCCACTATCATAAATGTACTATAACAAGGCATGTCCTTCCTAATTCACATAGCCGTATCTGACTAAGTGGGTAACTATGGAAGACTAGGATTTCTGCCATTTTCTTTAACCAATATTTATTTTCTTATAGGCACTTGGTAGTCCAAGAGTCAGATACTCATGATAGCCTGGAGAAGTTGAACAGCAAAATACTATGTATTTGCTGTCACAAATGATGGCGAGAACTATGTTTCTTTGCTACATGTGAATACCTCAGATATTAATTTATAGAATGTTTTATATGTAACTATAACTCATGCAGAAGGCTAATAATATATTTGATACCTTGCTCAGTTCCATACTTACATAGAACTATTATGTATTTAAGATGGCTGATCACACTGAAGTGATGAGAGGCATCCATCAGTATCCAGGAGTTCGATATCCTGTCCTTATACCTAATCTTCAGGGTTTCCACCATGCTGTAAGTGTGCTACTGTTTTCTCTAAAATTGCCTTTTTTGTTTTGAAGACCTTTAAAAGTTATAATGCTGTCATGTTTAATTAATTCCTCTGCTGATAAACTAGCATAAACATATAGAGATCAAGATTCTCCATGGCATTATTAGGACCTAACATATTCTCCATATATAGCTCTTTCAGTATTCAAGAATTTAACAATAAAAATATAATTCTCTCTTTTGGATGAAAACTTGAAAGTTTATTTTGTGCTTCCCGATTAAGAAGTTAATGTAGGGTATATCTTAAACATTTATTGATGAAGCATTATAATTGTTAACAATCCTGAAATAAATGTTTTGTCAACATGCTGAGGCCAGCCTTTTGATTCTGTGGATTTTTCTCTTAGCCTAAAACTAATCCTTGTCACTGTATCTGCTTCTATTGACTTTATTCCTCTTCTGTTTTATTTATTGTGATCTGTGTGCTTTAGAAATTTCTATGGTTTAAATAAAAGTTTTAATGCCTACACACAAAGAACCACATTAGTTTTACATAAAATTTACTGTATTATCTTTACATATGTTTGTTGCAAAGATGTCGCAGTATATATCCCTTGGGTCAATCAGTATTTTAAGTTCTCCATTTGATAACTATGCTGCAAAGTTGATGTATATGCTGCTAGAAACATCTTTCTTTCATTTGATTTGATATAATTTTATGGCATTATAAAATTAAAGAATATTGCTGTTATCAATATCTTGTTAGCAAGACATCCTCTGTTGGATGATAGGAAGAAAGGAAAAACAGAAGTAATTTGTATTGCTTTTTAACAATTGGTTTTAAAATAACGTTCTTCTGAAAAAATGCCAGCTTTATTGGGGTACAAATTTTTCCCCATAATTATGGGAAAGTGTTTTGAGAATAACATGATGAAAGACAGGGTTAACTGGTTCATCCTCACCGTGTTTTATGTGTCTCATAATCTCAAGACTATTGTGGTTTGTAGAATTTTCTTGTTACTATAAAAGAGTTTTCCATTTCAAAACAGTGTAAGTGGCAAAAAGAGAGGAATCTGTCTTTCAACCTTAAGGCAATGTGAGAACACAGGCATGCTGTTGGAGTTGAGTCTCCAGCAACCATTCACAAGACTTTCAAACGTGGTAGCATTGGGCCATACACTGTCTTTCAGGTTGCTGCTGGAGCCACTGAGATAGCAGTTTTTGGTGCTGCTTCAGAATCTTTCATCAAGAAGAATATTAACTGCTCAATTGAAGAAAGTATGGGAAGGTTTGAGGAAGTTATCAGCTCCGCAAGGCACATGGACATCCCAGTACGAGGGTACTCATGAAACCCAACTTGATTCCATTGTATCAGTTTTTAGAGTTCACTTATAAACCACCATGATAGTTTTCTACCATTCACTAATATGTATATATAATATTATATGAACCATATTTATTTATAGGAATCACTGTGTAATTGTATCCCATTATAACAATTACCATGTTTCCAGCCTGTGGAATGTGGAATCTGATGGGTATCAGGGGAGCTGGGAGGTGAATCTGACATTAAGTTTCAGCTATCTAGATATAGTTATGTGTTGTATCAGACTCACATGTGTCAGTAAATTACAGCTGTTTCTGGAAATGCAGGTGTATCTCAGATCCTTCCTCTTTGCCTTTTTATGTAGAAACTACATTGCTTTGGATAAACATTGCTGGCTTTCATTATAAGAAATCCCATTAAGGGAAACAGAGAAGGAAAAACTGTCCTAGATCAAAAACCCAGCTTTCTCTGTTAGGATTTAGCATGGTTGCCTTGAATTGAAATATCATGTAATGTCATTTCTGAATTCATTGTCTTGAGGCTCTTGCAATAGAGTCATATGAAAACCACTAGGAAACAGGGTAGTGGAGAACAGAGACAGGAAGATATAGAGGACTTTAGCATGGTGGAACCAAAGGAAAGGGAGAAATCTGCATTTGTTTTTTGCCTGGTTCCACGGCCAGCAGTTGCAGCATAGATTTGGAGTTGTTCTTATACATGGCAAAACATGCAATAAATTATTCGTTTTTGAAGAAAGACAGTAGTTTGTTTTCTAATAATCATATAAATATTCAGATATGATGAGCATACAATTTATGCTGGGAATGGATTTAACTGTACCTTTTAATTCTTTTAGTTGAGGTAAGCAAAGTCCATAGTGGTAGAATAATTCACCAATTAATAAGAGAAGGGTGTTGGCTTACTACTGCCCAGCACTGCAAATTTAAAAAAAATAATAAAGTGTGTTCTAATTAGGGTTTCTATTGCTGCAATGAAACTCCAAAAAGCAAGTTGGAGAGGAAAGAGTTTGTTTGGCTTACACTTCCACATCATAGTACATTTATTAGAGGAAGTCAAAACAGGAACTCAAACAGGGCCAGAATCTGGAGGCAGAAGCTGATACAGAAGCCATGGAAAAAAGCTGCTTACTGGCTTGCTCACCCTGGCTTGCTCAACCTGCTTTCTTATACAACCTAAATCTACCAGCCCAGGGATGGCACCACCCACAGTGGGCATGGCCCTCCACCATTACCCCCCAAAAAAAAAAAAAAAAAAAAAAAAAAAAAAAAAAAAAAGACTTGCAGCTGTATCTCAAGGAAGCATTTCCTCAACTGAGGCTTCTTCCTCTCTAATGACCCTAGCTGTGCTAAGTTGACACACAAAACCAGCCAGTGGAATGTTAAAGACAATTGGTTTTGAGGGAAAACATTATGATGATTGGAATTAGGCCTGGGCCTTTAGGAGAACAAACAGACTTAGAGTATACCACACTGTGTTTTCTATTGGAATTTATCTTCCCAACTCTCTACCATAAAGGTTTTCTTTTTTAAGTATCTAATTATCTTTCTAGCTTAATAGATAATTTTCATTTTTAACTTTTTCCCCACTTTTTTTAAACTTAGAGACAAGATTGTTTTACATGTCAATCCCAGTTCCCTCTTCCTCCCCTCCTCCCCTGCCCCCCACTAACACCCTACCTATAACATACCCTTTCTGCTCCCCAGGAAGGGTGAGGCCTCCCATGGGAAGTCTTCAGAGTCTGTCATATCCTTTGGGATAGGGCCTAGGCCCTCCCCCATGTGTCTAGGCTGAGGGAGTATCCCTCTATGTGGAATGGGCTCCCAAAGACCATTCCTATGCTAGGGATAAGTATTGATCTACTACAAGAGGCCCCATAGATTTCCAAGGCCTCCTCACCAGTGAAGAACTTATAAAACATTTTAAAGCCAAGACAATATATACCGCTCATCATAAAATAATGTATTTATTTTAAGGCCACAATATATAACCACAATGAAAAGGAGCAATGTTCTATAAACTTTCAAATTTAAGTATCACTAAGTTGTTTTGTCTTTCTTATCTTTAAAAGAAAGGGCATATTAAGACCGTGCTGGAGAAACCTGCAGAAATAGTTGACCCGACCTGTGAGGTCACAGAGACCCTAGTCGGAAAGCTGGGAAACCATCACTGGACCGAACCAAGCTCTCTGAATGTGGGTGCCAGCTAGGAGGCCTGGGCAGTCTATGGGACCTCTAACAGTGGAGCCAGTGTTTGTCCCTAGTGCACAAATGGACTTTGGGAGCCCATTCTCTATGGAAGGATACTATGACAGCCCAGGCACATGAAAGAGGGCCTAGGCCCTCTCACAAATGATGTGGCAGACTTTGATGCCCTGCACCCCCATGGAGGGCCTCACTATCCTTGGGGAGTGGGTGGAGGGTGGGTTGGGGGGGTCAGTGGGGTGCAAGGCAGATGGGAAGGCAAGGGAATGGAGGGACTGATATATAAAATAAGATTGTTTCTAAAATAAAAAAAGAAAGAAAAAGAAAGGGCATATTAACATCCTTATCTATTTCAAATTGTGAAGAATAGAGGAAAATGTTTCTCATTGGGAAGTCAAGGAAACCAACATAAAACCAGAAAAACATATCAGTAGCCTACTGTCAATATTCTATTGTAGATTTCCCAACACTTTTTTTTTTGTCTCAATTTGAAGTTTATTTCTGGATTTTCCAGAGGACTGTTCATTTTCAGAAATACAACTTTTAGCATGTGTGATCCTTAATTGTTTGAGAACTTTAATTTATTTTCTCCCCTAACTGCACTGAATTTAAATATGATTCTGTTTTTGTTTTATTTTTGTATTTTATTCATTCTTTGGGAATTATATGTGTATATATATATATATATATATATATATATATATGTATGTATATACACACAAAACACATTTTGATCATATTTACCACTCATTCTTTCCAAATCCTCTTACATCTTCCTCTCTTCATGCCTCTCCCAACTTCATGTCTTCTTTTAATATCACACTGTTTTATGTCCTTATAACTGTATATTATAAAATAAAACGTCTAGAGGTCCCACTTATGAAAGTCCACAACATGAAAGATCAGCATAAGGCAGGTGTGATATGGGCTGCCATTTTGCCTCTGATGTCTGAGCTATGTGAGGCCTAAGTGTATTTAGTCCCCCTTTACTAGGAGTCTAAGTTATTTGTCTACTTTTAAAGGATTACAAAATACAAGAATGTATATCTATGAACAGTGTCTGTGGCATTTCTTCTCAACTTTACTGAAAAAAATGAAACTGAAGTTATGAGACTAAGGCAAACTGTTAATTAAATAATATTTTAAAACCAATAGATTTTATTTAGGTATAGAAAACAAAGACAGCTTGTAAGATGTAATGTTTTATTTTAGTAATAATTTGTTCATACTATGTGACTAATGTATACTACTAATTAGAAGGAGGTGAGGCATCTGATTTTCCTACAGCCTCTATCAGTACAGCCCTTATTTACCTATCAACCAAAACCAATCTAAGGGAAGTCTGTCTTGTTTCTCAAATATATTGCATCAGAGATATTTGTGATCTATTTCTTTAGTGAAAGACACTCACTGTGAAGAAGTTCCTCCACTGTATAACAGTTTTCAATTGGCTGCTCAGTTGCATTGAGCTTCCAACCTTTAGGGCAGCAGCCTTCTCAGCTGCCAAAAAGGAAGGGCAGTCTCCCCCAACTTTCACTTCAGGGATGATTTATAGCCCAACACATTTATTCTAAATGTGCAGCTTTCAACTTGAATTAGCCAAACCATCTATCTAAATCATGTTTCACAGTTTGTGTGTCCTGCCCTTCTTGCTGCCCGAGGCCAGATGCCACATAGGTTATGATCCTGACCTTGAAGTCGAGGGCAGCCTTATTTGGAGGGATAATGAGTCTCTGATTCAGAGGTCTGCTTTTAGGTGTGCAATGAGTAGCTTCTGAATAACTATCAAACAGCATCCACTGGACAGTCTCCCTCCAAGGAACTCACTTGCGGAGCACAAGCTGCTTTTAACTTCCACCACTAAACAGGCCTGGGTTTTGGCCTGCAAGAAAACATGAAATAATCATAATCGGTTACTGCAATATGATATATAAAACTAAAACTCAGACATCTGCTTTGGCATTTTTTCCTATGTAGAGTGTTTACTTAAAGGTTTCTAGTTCTTGTAAGTGTATGTAACCTAACATGAGTGTAAAACAGTAAGCTGAGGCTGGATGATGGTCAGTTTGTCTAGAACACTGATTTTTTCTTTTCTTTTCTTTTCTTTTGCTTTGGTTTTTGTATACAAGGTTTTGCCATGTAGCTCTGTCTGTCCTAAATTGCCCAGGCTGACTTCAAAGTTGTGGCACTCCTCTTAGCCACCCGTCCCAGGATTATAGGAATGTGCTACCATGCTTTGCCCCCCCTTTTTTTGAAAATAATTATTTTCTCACATGATACATCAGATATAGACACTGAGACCTGGGGTTGGGATGTTGATGGAGACATTCCTTGTTGGGGCTGAGTGCCCCAAGATCTCCCACTCGCTGCATATTGTCTGGCTGTGGGTCTCAGTATTTGTTCCCCCTCCCCCTCTCTCACACACACAAAGCTTCTGCTGTATTAAGCTTCCGTACTACCCCTGAAATGACTCTTAATTTTAGCTGTCTCTCCCCATGGCTCTACAGATTGCATGTTGGTTATCATTAACTAACAACCAAATATATGTGAATAAGTACCACACTTGTCCTCTGGGCCTGTGTTTCTTCATTCAGGATGATCTTTTCTAGTTACATCCATTCACCTGCAAATTTCATTTTTAATGGCCGAGTAATACCCCATTATATAAATGTACCACATTTTGTTTATCCATTCTTCTGTTGAGGGATATTTAGATTATTTTCTATTTCTACTATTATTAATAGAGCAACAATTTACATGTTCGGGTAAGGGTCTTATTAGTAGGATGAACCATCCTTTGCATATATGCAAAGTTGTTGTATAGCTGGATCTTAAGGTGAATTGATTCCCAGCTTCCCGAGGAATTGACACACTGGTTTCCATAATGGCAGTCCTACCAGCAATGGATAAGTTTTTCCTTACTTCACCTCTCCACCAGCATGAACTGCCATTTGTTTTGAGTGCTTTTAATCAACAACCCCACAGAAGAGGGAGAGGTTATATCGAAGGAGTCAGAGGGGATGGAGAACATGGCCAACCAAATCAACGAAGTAGGGATCATAGGGGCTCACAGAGACTGGAGCAGCAAGCAAGGGGCCTGCATTGGTATGCATCAGGTCCTCTGTGGATATGTTATGGCTGTTAGCTTGGTGGTTTTGCAGGAGTACTAGCATGGGAAGTGAGTGTGTCTCTGACTCTTTTGTCTGCTCTTGGGACTATTTTTCTCTTATTGGGTTACCTTGTCCAGCTTTGATATGAAGACTTTGCCTTGTCTTACTATATTATGTTTTGTTGTGTTTCTTGTCTCTTGGAGGCCTGTTCTTTTCTGAAGAGGAATAGAGGGTGAATGGATGTGGGGGATAGGGGGAGGTAATAGGGGTGGGTGGAAGGAGTGGAGAGAAGAGAAACTCTGTTAGGGATGTATTGTGTGAGGGAAGAATCTATTTACAATAAAAATAGAATTTCAAAGTAGTTTTGATTTGTGTTTCCCTGGTGGCTAAGGAAGCTGAACATTTCTTTAAGTGTTTCTCAGCCATTGGAGAATTCTCTGTTTAGACCTGTAACTCCATTTTAAAATTAGGTTGTTTCCTTTATGTCTATTTTTAAAAATATATTTTGGATATAGCCCTATATCAATGTATAGTTGGCAAATATCTTTCCCCATTACATAGGCTCCCATTTTGTCTGAATGATAGTGCAAAAGCTTTTGCAGTTTCAAGGTCCCATTTATTAATTGTTGATCTTAGTGCCTGTGCTAACAGTGTTCTGTTCAGAAGGTCTTTGCCTGTGCCAATGAGATCAAGACTATCCCCACTTTCTCTTCTGTCAGGTTCAGTGTATTTGGTTTTATGCTGAGGTCTTCAGTAGAACTTTTGAGAAATGAGATTATTGTCATACTTTGGATTATGAGCCTTTGTAGGCCAACTTTGCTTTAAAAATCTTAAAGCCAGATAAAGACATAGTTTGAGAAGTACTGCATTCGTTTTGTAGTAAGCAAATCCATGCATAAGTAAGTCAAAGAAGGCACTCACAAAATTGAGGAAGATCCTATGAAAATAAAGTTCAGTGGAAGTCAAGATAGGAAAACCTATATACCTTGGAAGGTTATTAGTCAGAAATGAATGAAAATATAGAGAGTTAGGACTTAGGAGCAAGCCGGCAGGTAGTCATGGTTTAGCAACAAGCCAAATAAAGCATGGGATGCTTGTTTTGAACAGTTTGAATTTACTGTTGTGTATTGGAATATTTTCCTTATTTAACTTACTTTAAAGGAAATTATGAGCCAGACCATGGTGGAACATGCCTTTAATCCCAGCTCTTGGAAGACTGAGGCATGCAGATCTCTGTAAGTTCAAGGGCAGCCTGATCTATACAATGAATTTCAGGATAGACGAAGCTACACAGACAAACCTTGTCTTAAAAAAGAGGAAAATTGTAACTGGCACCATAGATACTATATTTAGTCATATCTCTGTGTTTGGGACTTAGAACAAATGTAGTAAGTTTTTGCACATTGTTGGAATAATTATATTTGGATTGGAATTTTTCCTCTTTTATTCACCCCTATCTAATAATATACATGCCACTTTCTTCTCATGTAACTTGATCACATTTTAACAAATTACCTAAGATGTTGAATAAAATATTTATAAGAACTGGAAGAGCAAGCTACATTGCCAATAAATTTGAATTCTCCTTCCTTGTCTTTTGAACTGTGAGATGGGCTTGTTAAACAGCTTATGTATTTCATTCCTCAAAAGTAAACTTTATCTATATTAATACCTCCAAATTAAGTTACACCTGATAATCAATGTGTAGTAGCCCACTTAGTGTGTAAAGTCTGTTAGAAATTTTATTCTGAACTTTCCAATGAATCACAGCTTAAATTCAATGAACATGTTAGTATGCTCTCTTCTTGCTCCTACCTGTCCTCTGACAGCCACTTTCTGAAAAACTAGATTTCTGTAAAACAAATTTCACTTTTCAAGATCTAAACTAAATTTTCTGAATGCCTCAGAATATGTTTGGATAATCCCCAAGTCTAGCCTCCTTGGTAACCATAACATGTGCTATCTAGAATCTTTCTTATCCTGGACCAAGAACTGTATTTCTAGCCCTTCCACCACCCCTCTCTCCCCATGCGGCTTTCTTCACTTCTGGACACAGGACACATGGTGCATCATCTTAACACTGCATTGTAAAAGTGTCTGAGGATGGTACAGTGAAGTGGGGGTGGAGATAAGCTGGGAATAGTTAAAGCAGGCTTGTCATCAAGGTTGATAACATGGAAAGGGACCACCATCTTTAAGTGGAAATGAATTGCTGAGGAAGCTTCCAAAATATCTTTATCCAGAACCTTTTTAACACATTAGACACAGTTCTACTTGGAACAAGTTAGATAAACTCATGGGAGAAATAGGATGAATTCTGAGGTGGCAGCTACTTCCTGAGGTTGGAAATGAATACTTGCTGTATCTTATTGGTTGTCACAAACATCCAGATAGATGTATGGAGAGAAACTTCATTTCTGCATGCCAGCTCTACATAATTGTAATGAATTGGGTAATTAAATATTGAATTTATAACCATCTAAATAAAACTATATTTCACTATTGTTTTCTGCTTTGAATATTTATATGATGCTATAGTACAGTGGTTCTCAATCTCCCTAATGCTATGACCCTTTAATACAGTTCCTTATGTTAGGGTGACCCCCAATGACAAAATTATTTTTATTGCTACTGTTATGAATTCTAATGTAAATATCTGATATACTGGATGTTCTAAGGAGACCTCTGTGAAAGGGTTGTTTAACCCCCAAAGTGGCTGAGACCCACAGGTTGGGAACCACTGCTATAGTATAAACCTGCTCATGTAATATTCTGTAGTCATTATTATCATCAAATAACATTATCAAATTGTAATTGTCTGATAGACTAAAGTCAGAGTAGCCTCTAAATGCTCCTAAATAATTTTTGTTTCATTGGAGAATAAAGTAAAGGTGTAAAATAATTTTGCTTCATGTGTTGTAAAGTGGAAATTTGAAACGATCGACAAATCACATTGCTTTGTATTTTCAATGTAGGTATGTGTCCTGTGCCCTGGGCTGTCCATATGAAGGAAGCATCACACCACAGAAAGTCACCGAAGTAAGAAATGTCTCCAGCTTTTATGGTTACTGGTAAAAAGAAGAGTCTTATCAGTCAATTTAGACAGTTTTATTTATTGTTTATTGAAGTTCAGTAGCAGAAGCTAAAGAGAAGGATGGCTGGGAACTTATCACTGAAGTTGTATTTTATTACTTAGCTAGTCATTTCATTTTATTTTATCTCAGTTTTTAAAATTTAAATTAGAAACAAGATTGTTTTACATGTCAATCCAAGTTCCCTCTCCCTCCCCACCTCCCCTGAACTCCACTAACACCCTACCTATCCCATACCCTTTCTGCTCCCCAGAGAGGGTGAGACCTTCCATGGGGGGGTCTTCAGAGTCTAATATATCCTTTGGGATAGGGCCTAGGCTGAGGGAGTATCCCTCTATGTGGAATTGGCTCCCAAAGTCCATTCCTATACTAGGTATAAGTACTGATCTTTACTACAAGAGGCCTGTAGAGAGAAATCCTGTTTAGAGGTACTGCTAACCATGCCCACTTGGGGCTGCTCACAGGTGCCCTGACCACGCCTATAATGATAAATCTCTCTGCCAGCCACCCGAGTTCTGCCTGTCACCATGTTAAGGTCCCAAGTAGCACACAGACTTATATTAGGTACAAAGATGCTGGCCAATGACTCAGATTTCTTATCTGCTATCTCTGTCTTAAGTATCAATCATAATTATCAATCTATATATGCCCCACGTTGGGTGCCATAAAGGAGTAGCAGGTCCGGACCCTTCTCTGACAAACCATGCAGACATACACAGATTAGTAGTTATGGGTTAATAATTAAGAGAGAGCTAGCCAATAAGAAGCCCTAGACAATGGCCAACAATTTCATAGCTAATATAGCGCCTGTATGTTTCTTTGGGGCTGAAGCCATGGCGGCACCTAGGTGGGACAAGAGAAAAACATCAGCAACATATATATTTCATAAACTTATCCTATTGAGGACACTGTTGGCAAGCCTCCTGTCTTCCTGGGGTTAACATGTCAACTCCAAGAAGAGAGCAGGAGGGAAACCTCACCTGGCCAGACCAGGATTGACAGATTGATACCTCTTTCTTGATTCTGTGGGTGGTGGTGCATGGCTGTTCTTAGTTGGTGGTGTGATTTATTTGGTTAATTCTGATAATGAATGAGACTCTGGCATGCTAACTAGTTATGCGACCCCTAAGTGTGCATGGTACGAATCACCTGTGCCAGCCCCCAATTGGGCATGGCCAGCATTTCCCCCTACACCACATCTGCTTGGGTATGGTCAGAATGACATAACAAGGATCTAAGTAAGAGGCAGGCCCTCTTTTCTCTCTTCTGCTCAGCCCTGGTGGGTCATTCCTGCTCCTGTGTAAACCTGGTCACTGGCTCCGTTGCATGAGTACTTTCTTAATAAACTATCTGTTATCAATCTAGTTCTTATTCCACATGGCATTTGGCTTTAGAGGCCCCATAGATTTCCAAGGCCTCCTCACTGACACCCACATTCAATGGGTCTGGATCAGTTCCATGCTGGTTTCCTAGCTATCAGTCTGGGGACCAAGAGCTCCCCGTTGTTCAGGTTAGCTGTTTCTGTTGGTTTCACCAGCCTGGTCTTGACCCCTTTGTTCATCACTCCTCTTTCTCTGCAACTGGATTCCAGTTCAGTTCAGTGTTTAGGTATGGGCATCTGCTTCTACTTCCATCTGCTTCACCCATCTACTGCTGGGTGAAGGCTCTAGGATGGCATGGCATATAAGTTAGTCTTCAATCTCATTATCAGGGGAGGGCATTTAAGGTAGCCTCTCCACTGTGGCTTAGATGGTTAGTTGGTATCATCTTGTAGGTCTCTGGACATTTCCCTAGTGCCTGATTTCTCTTTAAACTTATAATGGCTCCCTCTCTTATGGTATCTCTTATTTTGCTCTCCTCTATCTTCCCCCTACAGAACCTTCCTGCTTATGTCCTCCTCAATCCTCCTCTTCTCCCCTTTGCATTTTCCTAGCTCCCTCTCTCGTCCCCCCATGCTCCCAATTTGCTCAGGAGATCTTGTCCCTTTCCCCTTCTCCAGGAGACCATGTATGTCACTCTTAGAGTACTCCTTGTTTCCTAGCTTCTCTGGCAGAGTGGATTGTAGGTTGGTAATCCAAACACTACCAGGGAGCTCCTACAGCTCATAAACACCTTCAGCAAAGTGGCAGGATACAAGATTAACTCAAAAATAAATCAGTAGCCCTACTATACACAGACGATAAGAGGGCTGAGAAAGAAATCAAAGAAACATCACCCTTTGCAATAGCCACAGACAACATAAAATATCTTGGAGTAACACTAACCAAACAAGTGAAAGACCTGTATAGTAAGAACTTTGAGTCTTTATAGAAAGAAATTAAAGAAGATACCAGAAAACAGAAAGATCTCCCATGCTCTTAGATGGGTAGAATCAACATAGTAAAAATGGAAATCTTGCCAAAAGCAATCTACAGATTCAATGCAATCCCCATCAAATCCCAACACAATTCTTCACAGACCTTGAAAGAACAATACTCAACTTTATATGGAGAAACAAAAGACCCAGGATAGCCCAAAAAACACTGTACAATAAAGGAATTTCTGGAGGCATCACCATTCCTGACATCAAGCTCTATTATAGAGCTATAGTCCTGAAAACAGCTTGGTATTGGCACAGAAATAGACAGGTAGACCAATGGAATCAAATTGAAAACCCTGATATTAACCCACATATCTATGAACACTTGATTTTTGACAAAGAAAATAAAAATATACAATGTAATAAAGAAAGCATCTTCAAAAATGGTTCTGGCATAACTGGATACTGGCATATAGAAGACTGCAGATTGATTCATGTCTATTGCTGTGCACAAAACTTAAGTCCAAATGGATCAAAGACCTCAACATAGTCATTTAATTTTAATATAGATCCATTGATTATAACTTTCCAAAGGTCAGTGATAATTGAGTCATAATCTGGATGCTTTAATGATGGAGAGGGTAAAGGCTCTGTCTTGCTTGTGCATGACCTTAGCCAAAGGAATGCTTTCCCACTTGCATCACAGTGTCAGACAGTTGTGCACACATACACATGTATGCAGCTCTTTCTCCATACTGACATCAGAGAATTGCTGCAGTGTTTCCGTTCATGTATGATCTTCATTACTATGCTATGTCAATAGATTGCAGTCATTAAGAATCTGCATATTGGGTTATTAAATCTGCTTATTATACCATAACTCTTTGTTTACCATTAATTCATACTAATCAATACCAAATACTCTACTCTGGGAATTTGTTTCTAAACTTATTTGGAGATGAACTATATTATGTAAACTTTTGCTGATTGTGTATTTTCATAAAATTTGTGATACAATACTGAAACAGTAAATGTGATATAATTAGTAAGCCCCAGATTATGTAGATTAAACTCTTAGGCCAGCTGAAGTAATTCCTTCCTTGTTCACTCATTTGAACTATGAAGATTACTAAAGATTTTTCAAATGAGGGCTATCTCATTATCTCTTCTATTAAAGGTCCTTGATCACAGAGCCAAGTATACTTGGAAATGATGAAGCTGAGGTTTTATATCACTTTACTTGCATCCAAGACTTGCTATGAAATTGCTCAGACAATTATATATTATTTTTTTAAATAATATTCCCAAAAGGCTTGACTTCATGCCTCACAAGACTTATGTCTACTTCTTAGAGACACCAGACTGTTTGTCCCCCTGTTGCACTGTTCTAGCATGGAAGAGCTGCATAGATATTTTTTTCACCATAACTGGGGTGCTGCTGAAGCCTCGCAGACAGATTAGAAGTACTAAAAATTCATGATCAGCAACTGTGCTGCAGCGGCCCTTGTGCTAGCCTAATACATTTTGTGAATTTATTCTTTTCTTTCTGAAATGACTATTTGGAAGTTGATTACTTTTGCAGACTCTCCCCCTTCTTCACACTCAATGCCACTGTTCTTTGCTTGCTCATGACACTCTCTTGCACAGTTGACTTTTTCCCTGCTTTGGAATGCTGTCTGCCTCTCACACTCTAGTGGCTTGGAACCCACTAACCTTTATGTGTGTATTCTTTCCAAAACATATTTCAGACTCCTCTCTCTCACCCTTTTCAAGCTTACTTTATCTCAAGGCACTTAACACCCCACCTCCACTGCTTGACAGCTCTAGGCCAGTGGCCAGTGTCCTTTAGCACATGATACAGAATCTTGTTTCTTTGTTAAGAGTCTTATTTTAGTTTGATTTGTGCATATATCCATAATATTGGCAAAAAACTGGTCCTCATTTGTATTCATGATCACAAGAGCCATGACAACATTTGCTTTCTGGTCAATCTCATCACCTAGCACAGTGGATGGAATAAGGTGTCTCTGGACAAGTACAAGCTGAATAAAAGAAAGCCTTTTTATTCTTTTTATTTATTTTGTTTTGCAGCCAAGCATGTCATTAACATTGTAATGATTATTGTAAATTTTGAAAGCATACCGTCACAGCTTCAGAAAGCATTATAGATGAGGACATTTGGTCATCTATAGTCAACAAATTAGTAACCGAAGTACCAGTAGATTCATCTCATGATCAACCCAGCATCAGAAGGATGGTTTGAGTGAGAGCTAATATTCAAATTCATGCTTGTCTGATTATAGAACCCTTGCCAAAGTATCATGCTGTCTTCATGAAGTTCACATTTCTCCTTCATTATAAAACTAGTTATTAGGCTTGAAGATAACTTGAAATTTACCTGGCATGAGTCCCTTCATCCACAAGACAAAAAATATAAGCTAGGAATATTAAGTGGTTCTACTAATTGCTGAATATCTTAATGATAGAGTAGAAATTACTGATGTCTCAAAACCTCTGATTTATTGCCCAAAGAAACACTACTTCCAATGCAGACCTTCAATGCTTCTTTCCAATTAAAGTGGAGAAATATTAACCTCATTGATGTGAAATTCCAGCTTGTACTTGAGCAGATAGATAGATGGGTGTGTATATATGAATTAGGTATGAATCTAAGACAAGCTTGAACGGACAATATAATAACAGTAATTTCATCCAAAATATTGGTATAGGGCTTAAAATTTAATGAGCAGAAAAGATGACTGGGAAACTGAAGTAAAAGCCTTCTGTGGGAAAATTCATCATAGTTGTAATTCTTATCTACAGGTAATGATTACTTGTGAGTCATAGGGTGGGTGTCAGCTCATTTCATTTTCTGACCAGCAGTTTGCCTTTCAACAGGTCTCAAAGAGATTGTATGGTATGGGCTGCTATGAGATCTCATTGGGAGACACAATTGGAGTGGGCACTCCAGGCAGCATGAAGATGATGTTGGAAAGTGTCATGAAAGAAATCCCCCCAGGGGCTCTTGCTGTTCATTGTCATGACACATATGGACAAGCCCTCGCAAACATCCTAACAGCTCTCCAGGTATTTGTAGTCTCAATGGCTATGCTGTAGTTACTTATGATAAAGTATGTTGAGAGTTTTAGTGAAACAAATTTGTTAAATGCAAATGTCATGCTTAAACAATATGTATAATATAGCTTGTTTTGATATTCTTTGAACATGATATTTCAACGTAGCTACATGCATGAAGTATTTTTAAGTGCTAACAAATTTTTAGGGAAATGGGGGTCTTAGTACTATTTGTATGATTTGGTCAAGTTGGTATTCTTTTATTTTTGAAGTTTCAATTCTATTAGATCTATGGCTTCTAACTTCAATTTCTATATACCTCAACTATAAAATTTAATGCAATTGGATATTATGATATGTTGAGAAGTAAAGACAAAAAAACAGCAGCATGTGCCATTGTAGTCAAGAAACAAGTAAGCTTTTGTCAGTTTGGCTGCTCTGTGATGAATATGTGTGGAGTAGGAACACAGAATATTTTACTAAAGCATTTTCCGAAAGATTGCAGCCTCTTGTTGCACATATGCACATGCACCTAGGAATTGAAAGTAAAGCCTATGTGTGCCAGGCAAGCACTCCAGCACTGAGCCCACAGCCTCACTTTTAGTAGAACTCTTGTTTATTTTAATCAAATAGATTCATTTATATGCCTTAAGAAAAAAATCTAAATAGTTAGAGCACTAAGAATCACTAAGATATATGCTAGTCTAAGCATATTTATATAAAGAGTAAATTTAACTGATTTTGTTTTAAAGTTTTCTTCATTTGATATCTGTACAGCCAAAATTTTGACAATTAAAGAAAATACTGTTACAGCTTTTTGGTAAGGCTAAAAGTCAGTTTGTAAAACTTAATGTTACAGTTCCAAAGTCTGCAGTTATTGGCAGAAGTTTAGAAATAGTGGGAGGAGCTTATTTGGCTATGTTATATATGTGAGAAGAAATGAAGAATATCTCATGATATTTTAGGGTGTGGGAACTTTGAAAATTTTTCTTCCTAGATGGCCTAGATTCAATGACAATAGAGAAATGTGCGTGGCTTCAGGATGCTGTGTCCAACTCCCCCTTTTGTTTTATTGGGTGTTCCTGAGCACATGCCTAAGGTTCTCCCTCAACTCCAGTATTTACTCTTTTTACAATTTTATATTTTGTCATTATGAGTAGTAACTAACTTATATATTATGTTTATTATTTTATAGATAGTAGTTTAGTTATTGGGGATCAAAGCTTATTGTGTATAGTCTCAGAATATAGACAAAAATTGTTAGTCTCTACCTACTAATACTACTTATTCAATTACTAAATATTTTTATATGTATTGTGATTTTAATTGTTAAGAAAAACATATCTGCAAAATTATGGTAATATTCTACATAATATTTTATATTTTATTAAATATTTATAAGCATTTAGGTATAAAATAAATTACACATACAGTAGTGATGTTATACAATGACATTAGTGCTGAAAAGCTATTGTCTCCAAGGGATCTGGTAGTCATTGTGAGTTCTTAATGTGATTCATTAGTCATGTGCCATGATGTTGCTGTTAAAAAGCACATGTTGATAATATATGAAGATATACCACAAAAGTCATGTCTACTCTTTATAACTATATTGTATAGTTGTACATATGATTGTATACATGTAGCATTTACAACTAGTATTGACTATAGTAAGTAAATATTTTTGTTTTATATATTTTTGTTTTTTCCTTCTTTGGTTTTGTGTGTGATTGATGCTGGCCATCAAACTGGGGGCCTCCTCATACATGCTAGGTTAGTGTTCTAATATTGAGCAGCGAGCCCAAACCTACTGTTGTTTTACTTTTACTTCTTCTGTTTTTTTTTTTTTTTTTAACACACCGATAATCAGTGCAACATTATGCTTGTTACAACCTCATATAGTTCATTTTACTGAATCAAGAGGCCATGCAGAGTGAACCACTCTGGGTTTTTGTAAGTACATTATATGACACACAGTGATGGAACTTACAATGTATTTCTCAGAATGTCATAATGTATATTTGTACTTGTTAAAATCAACCTATAGAATAAGAAGAAATAATTTCCAGTAAGGAATGTGTGTGTTTCAAGAACATAAAAAAATTTACTGAGGCAAATTGCTTGGAAAGATGGGATTAAAAGAATAGATTGAGATTTAGAAAACTTTATCAGTTGAGTGGTATACTTCCCATTCATAGATAAGTCTCAAAGCATTGGGGAACATTGGATTCCTGTACTGGTAATACAGGGACTACTATACATGTTTGGATACAAGCAAGTGGGGAACATGAAAAATATTTGGATGTGGGCAGGAGTCCTCAAAAGAACAGGCTCTCTATCAAAGGATAAACAACAATGGCACAGTTCTCCGCATAAAGGGAAGATTAGCATGTTTATTTTTCATGACATTGACTATAAATGGAAAATAGATTGAAAACCTTTCTTTGTGCACCATAAAATTTCATAGCCCTCATGAGTTTAGAGATTGGTTTTACATTGCATTTGAAAGACACACCAGGTGAATTACTTTCAGTCACCAGATGAATGACTTTGTGGGTCAGTGGGATCCTTCATTTTCAATCACATATCTATTCTGAAGGAATGTTACTTCTCTCAAGCTCT